TGAGGGAGGGGGCAACGGGGGGGGAAAGGTTGTTTGGGTTGGAGAGGAGGGTTAGGGAGATGGAGGTTAGGAGGGAGAGGGAGAGGGAGAGGGAGGAGGAGGAGAGGAGGAGGGAGGAGGGGAGCAGAAAGGAGCTGGAGGCTGAGGTAGTTGAGCGGGAAAAGCAGGCTGTTGAGCGGGAGTGGGAAGAAGAAGTAAAGGGGGAGGAGGAAGATGAGGGTTGCATCTCTGAGTCGGACTATGATGATGATGGTTTTGAACAGATGGTGATATCGACCGAGAGGGCTACCCAGAGGAGGGTCATGGCTACCGCATACGCCGGCACAAGCGTTAATAACACCACGACACCACAGCGACCACCGGTGTTCAAGCAGCAATCGATTCAACATCCACAAGTCCTGTTGCCTCCTCCCTCTCGCCAGATATTAACTCCTAGAACACCTCAGCCTCGGCCGCCTATCAAACCCCAGGAAAACACCACACCGAAACCGCTTCCCTGGCTTGCCAGCGATCCGACTCAACCCCTAAAGCTCACACCCCTCAGCCAAATCCCATATTTACCCTACAAACAAAACTGGATGGTCAACGTTCTCGTTGTTGTCATCCAACTCGGAGAAACAGAATCGTGTCCGTATCCTCCCTTTGTTCAAAGGCAGGCTAGGGTCATTGATCAGAGTACACCACATAGTCACATCCACTTGACAGTATTCTTGGAGCCAGCCGAGTTTGAGCCGAAGCTAGGCGAGGTCTACCTTTTGCTGGGTGTCAAGAATCACAAGTTTGATGGGGGTAGCTTGAAGAAGTATGCGAGTGACAAGCCCAAGGGGGGTGGGAGGTGGTGGGTGGAGGGACGAGGGTTGGGGTGGTGTAAGGGGATGGTGAAGGAGTTGGAGATCTGGTGGGCTCAGCAACAGGGGGGTGTTGTTGGGGAGGAGGGTTGAAGATGCCCGGGAAATGGAGTTCAGTTGCGAATCATCCATTCTCCAGCAAGGAAAGTTCGGCGGTTCCAACCATTTCCACAATGGGTCTTAAGGCAGCGACATCCACTCTCTAAGGACTCCCAATTCAATAAGATCAAAGGTGTTCTTCATCCACATCAATCATCAAATCCTCAAAAGAACGGAAGAACAGCTTGGAATCGTGAGGGCTCACGTGACCACGCCCCAGTTTCGCGAACAAGGAGTGGTGCGCCGAGCGACAAATGACTGGCTGGGAAGGCGCCTTCCCCAGCCCCTCCTCCACAGAGCCTCCCGTCTCCTGCCTCAAGAGCTGCAAAGCAGCCAATTCAACACAAAGGACGAAAACGCACAAAATTACTCCGACTTTTCGCTCAAGACCACAGTCACTGGTATTTTGCGATTTTGCGACCATAGCAATAACCAGAATACATATCTGTTGCGCCTACTATCGCCAAATTCCCCCAAGACATCCCTCCCGCTGACGTCACTCACCGACCTCTTCTCACTCACCTTGACCCAACCACACCACACCTATCTTCTCAGCTTTCTCACGACTCTCTCATCACCCCAAATAAAAACAGCAACCATGCCACCCCGCCGCTCCACCCGAGCGACAACCAAGGCCGCCAGCCAATCCAAGCTGAACTTCTCCAACAAAATCACCAAACCGCTCCCCTCCCGCCCCAATCAAAAAGACAAGGCTGTCAAGCTTGAGGAAGCCATCACAAGAACAGCCACCCCCTCCCCTCCCCCCTCCTCCGAGCCAGCTCCTGAACAAGAACTTTCGCCGGCAGAGGTCAAGGCGGCAAAGGTTTCGCAGGCGGCGATTAATCGTTACTGGAAGAGGATTGAAGACTCGAGGCTGGCGAAGGAAGTTCACAAGAAGCATGGGACTGGGTTGGGGACGGGGGAGAAGCTTTTGAGGTATTTTGACGTTAGCAGTCAGTTTGGGGTAAGTTTTCGGAAATTGTCTAAGGGAAAGGGATGGGTGCTGACGAGGTGATAATATAGCCATGTGTGGGGATTACACGACTCGAGAGGTGGCAGAGGGCGGAGAGGCTGGGGCTCAACCCGCCGATTGAGGTGCTGGCGGTGATTGTCAAGGAGGGGAGGGGGGAGGAGAAGGCGCATTTGGATCAGTTGTTGAGTAGTACTGCGATTGGGGAGAGGGAGTAAATTCCAGCAGGAGGGGGGGGGGGGGGAAGGGGAATATGCGAAATGACATGGAGTTTTGGAGTTGGGGAACTGCTTTCGGGGGAAGGGGAACACAACAGGGAAACAAGGGCAGGATTTGGAAGGGGGATGTTATCAGGAGAGGAGAATTTGTGCCAACATAATCGAGTTGCTACACATCCTTGCTGGATATGCACCTTGCTGATTACATGTACTTTTTACATAGCTTGACATCACAGATACAGGTCATCGCAAACAAAACGAGCAACATAATTTCGCTCTACTCTATATTCTATCAACACCTGGGGCGCTCTCCTTTGGTCTATGAAAAGTTTTTAATACCAGATACTCCTCGTCCGATGATGCGGCGCCCTCTCCCTCCCCTCGTTCTCCATCTCCTTGATGGTATCATAGAGGAAGAAATCAATCAAAATCGCATTCACCCGCGCCCCTGGATTTTCTCTCAATATCTCCCTCCGTATCAACTCCACACACCAGATACTGCACGCCCGGAGCTGGATCTCCCAGTTGCTACCCGAGGGGATGTCACGTTTGAGCTGCACGGCGGTTTCGAGGGGTGGGCTGTACTGGATGCAGCCGAGCTGGTTGAGCATCTGCGGGATGCGGTAGTCGGCAAACATGGTTATCTTGTCAATGTCGTAAAATTTGCCGTAGGGGCCTTGGCCCTCGAAGCAAGCCCAGAGATCGGCGACGAGGATCTGGGCGCGTTTGAGGAGGCGGATGGGTTTCTTGCGGGGGAAGGAAGGGGGGGAGTGGGTGTCGTTGAAGCAGGAAAAGTTGGAGGCGAGGGTGTTGACCAGGCGAGCGGCGGAGTTGTTGGAGGAGGTTACGAGGTGGAGGGGGTGGCAGGAGAATTTCTCGTAGAGGATCTGGCCGGCTTCACGGAGACAGGAGAGACGGGCGGCGAGGAGGGGCATTTCTTCCGAGGTGGCGGAGCGGAAGACGTGTTTGAGGGTGGAGAGGGTGAGTTCTTCTTCGTTTTGCCAGAAGTGAGGGTCTGTAATGGGGATGCCTTGGGTGGATGGTGTTAGTCTCGTGGTGTAGTGGTATATGTGTAAGAGAGAGATGGAAAAGACATACCCTCCTCCAACGCCCTCTGTAAAGCAGCCACCAAACTCCAATACCCTGTCCACCTCCTCCCCTTGTACTCGATGGAAAACCTCTCTTCTTCACCCCTCTCACTCCAAAAACAAAAGTTCAAAAGATCCATGGTGAAGATAAAGGCCACCACATCCTCTGGCTTGTCACCCTTTGATGGGTGAGGGTGAAGCTCGTGTGCCGCCCAGGTGGCCGGTGAGTAAGACTTTGTTTGCATCTGAGAGTAGATGGCTCTGGCGGCGTTTTTGCATGACCGCATGTCGAGGGCTACGTCGATGGAGTTGTTGTAGACATATTCGGCTGATTCGAGGACGCCCGTGTCAGGCTCAGCGGCGACTTGTGGTTTACCGGCGATGTGTTGGCGGAGGAGCTCGAGGAGTTCAAGATCTGGTTCGGAGTCTGACATTTTTTTCGGGTTTCTATTTGTCAGTTGGTATTTTTGTGAGTTTGGTCTTTTAGATGAGAAATTATCCTATGAGATTTTGACTCTCCAGATCGCAAAACAAAATAAAAGGGTGCTTGTTGGGATGTATGATTGGAAGTGAGTGAGTGGCTGATGTGGATTAAGCGGTCAATTGAGGATGAAAATCAGATAAGTGGGACTGTGCAGTCAAGCATAAAGTCTGGGCGGGCTGAAGGGGCTTTTGATCACGACGAGAACAACTGGAATCATGAAATATTAGGAAAAGAAGAGGTTTGAGAAGTATTTTGATGTGGTATATAAACTGGAAAGCTTTTTTTCATGGCGATACCGAGATTTGCCGTGACAGCATGTTTCAATATTTGTTTGGAGGTTGAAGCTCGGATAAGATGAGGCTGATAACCTGTAATAGGCGCATCTTGAAGGCTTGTTGCCGTCGAAAGACAAGGCAGAAGAGATATTCCTTTTCAAGTAATAAGCTTGAGGGGTCTGGTTTCAACCGAAGGCAAAGAAAGCTCCATCGTAGAGTCATCTTCACTTGAGGTTAGTTTTAAAAGAAGCCTGAAATAGAAGTCGAAAAAAGTAGCGAGGTGAAAGAGCGATGAGCTCAGTGTAAGAGCAGCACAGGTGCGCCTGGCAGGCAGGGCGGCCAATGGGGGGCGTCTCCAGGAAGCCGAGTGGGGCCCTGCAGTGCGCCATGACCCACACCAATGATGCCCGTCGCGTTCCCTGCCTTTCAAATCGCAGCAATTCGAAGCTCTCTTCCCGAAAGCACTTCCCAAACACACAAACCCGGCAATAGCTGTCGCCCACACATTACAACTCTACCGAGTAAGACGCAAGGTTTGGCGGAACCCGCTTTTGCCCACCATGTCGTCAGACCCCGAATTCGACGGCGTGTCACCGCTGACCGAAGCTAAGAAGTCGCGGGTGCTCATGGTCGGCGCTGGGGGCATCGGATGCGAATTACTCAAGAACCTCGTCTTGACCGGCTTTGGAGAGACGCACATCGTCGACCTCGACACAATCGACCTTAGCAACCTGAATCGACAGTTTCTCTTTCGACAGGAACACATCAAGAAGTCGAAAGCGCTGGTAATTGCACCGCAACTGCCCAAGTCGCAACGGTCCGTGAAATCGCAAGGCTGACGTGCATGGTGTTTCTAGGTCGCCACAGAGGCTGCGCAAAAGTTCAACCCGAACGTCAAGATCGTCCCATATCATGCGAACATCAAGGACCCTCAGTTCAACATTGAGTGGTTTAGCAGCTTTAGGATAGTTTTCAACGCCCTCGACAACTTGGAGGCCCGACGACATGTGAACAAGATGTGCTTGGCGGCCGATGTGCCACTGATTGAGAGCGGCACCACCGGGTTCAATGGCCAGGTTCAGGTCATCAAGAAGGGCGTGACGGCCTGCTATGACTGCACAGCCAAGGAAACACCGAAATCGTTCCCAGTTTGCACGATTCGCAGCACACCGAGCCAGCCGATCCACTGCATCGTCTGGGGTAAGAGCTACCTCCTAAACGAAATCTTTGGCACAAGCGAGGACGAGTCCGCCTTCGATCACACCACCGATGCTGATAATGCGAAGGAGATTGAAGAGCTGAAGAGGGAGTCGGAGGCACTGCGGGGTATTCGACAGTCAGTCGGCACACCAGAGTTCAGCGAGGCTCTCTTCCAGAAAGTGTTCAACACCGATATTGTCCGGTTGAGGTCGATGGAAGACATGTGGAAGAGCAGGAAGCCACCCGAGCCACTCGACTACAAGGTCCTGATGGAGAAGGCGTCTACCCTTGACAAGGAAGCCGTGGTCGAAGACCAACAAAAGGTTTGGACGCTGGAAGAGAATTTGATCGTCTTTAACGACAGTCTCGATCGGCTCAGTAAGCGCGTAATGGAAAGCAAAGCTGCCGGCCAAGATGCTGTCATCACTTTCGACAAGGACGACGAGGACACCCTCGACTTTGTCGCTGCCAGTGCCAATATTCGATCGACACTCTTCGGCATCGACCGGAAATCAAAGTTCGACATCAAGCAAATGGCAGGTAATATTATTCCTGCCATCGCCACCACCAATGCCATTGTGGCTGGCCTCTGTGTTTTGGAGGCGTTCAAAGTCCTCAAGGGCCAGTACAGCCAGGCGAAGGAAATCTTCCTCACTCCTTTTGCTACCCAAAGACTGCTCGGATCCGACAAGTCGCGAGAGCCAAATCCCGCCTGCCCGGTCTGCAGCTCGTTCCAGATACGGTCGCTGGTAGACTTTTCCAAGGCTACGCTCAATGACTTTGTGGAGGACTTTGTCAAAGAGGAGCTTGGCTATGGGGAGAAGGAGTTTGCTATCAGCACGGAGGTGGGAATCATCTATGATCCTGATGAAACGGATAATTTGGAGAAGAAGTTGTCCGAGCTTGGTATGTTTTCCTGTTTCGTTATTCATGAAGGCTTTACAGGGTATTTCTAACAGTATTGTACACAGGCATCAAATCTGACTCCTTCCTGACCATTACCGACGAGGATGACGAGCTCGTCAATGTGGTTGTCGCCCTTTCAGAATCGTACGTCTCGGTTATTTATTTCCCTCACCAGACCAGTTGACTGACATCCCTTACAGGAAAGAGCCCCTCGAGGATAAACCCGTCAAGGGGATTTTCTCCTCTGAGAAGAAGATCGAGATCCCAGCCAAGCCTAAGCAGCCGGCTACGGAAACCAACGGCGCTGCCAGCGATAGTCCCCCGCTTGTGGTTTCCCTCACGAAACCTACTGACGGTGTCACGCCCGCTAAGCGCTCTCACCCCGATAGTGAAGAGGGGATTGCGAAGAAGGTCAAGACGATCGCTGCTGGTGCTGATGAGGAAGGCGATATCGTCATAGTGGACGATGCGCCTTTGGACGCTGGTGGTAGTAGTAGTGGGGGGGCGATTGTCATTGATGATTAATTCTTCCGACTCTTTGAAATATCGAGAGAGGTGAGTTCAAGCGCTGAGTCCACCATCGAGGTTGAGAATGCAGTTATTAGCGTACTGGTTTTTGGCGAGGAAGGAGGCGGCATCGGCGACTTCGTCTGGGGTGCCGAAGCGTTGGAGGGGGATGAGGTTTTGTAATTTGTCGATGTTGGTCATATCTGGGGGATTTGCGAAAAGTCAGTGAATGTGGTGGGGCGGGGGAGTTTGTAGGAGTAGGATGCATGTGTGTGTTTTGTTTTTGTGTGTGATTTGCTATTTGGCCTGGCGAAGAAGGGGAGATGGAAAAGGGCAAGGCATGGGACATGGCTTGTGGAGTTTTGTAATCATAACAGCTGAGAAGATGTTGATCTTTCACAGAGGAATACTGAACAAAATATGAAAAGTAAGAGAGGGGAGAGAGAGGCTTACCTTTTGTCATTGGGGTGTGGATGTATCCTGGTACAATAGCATTGACTCTTACACCCGACTGTCCGTACTCCATTGCTAGAGTATTTGTCAATCCCAAAACCCCGGCTTTGGTGGCGGCGTAGACTGCGCTGCCTGTGATTGCTTTTGTTGCCAGCAAGGAAGCGATGTTGATGATGACGCCCTGGGAGCCAGTTCTGTAGCTTCCTGGGTGGAGCTGGGGGGATTCGGGGGTGATGGGGGTTGTTTCTTCGTCCTCCTCTTCTTCTGGGGTGAGTTTTTGACTTTGGGGGAGCTCGGCTTGTTCGGTGGTGATGTCAATTTCTTGGACTGGTTCAGATGATGATGGAGTTGAGGGAGAAGAGAGTTTGGACTCCCAGTGGGCGGCGGCGGCGGCTTTGGCTGAGCGGCGGGCCGCGGTTGTGTGGGCGATCATGGACTTGCCGATGTACTTGCAGCCGAGGATTGTGCCGAGGAGGTTGGTGGAGAGGAGCTCGTCGATTTCAAACTTGCCAGTGTGAAGGAGGAGTTTGGTTTGGGAGATGCCGGCTGAGTTGATGAGGATGTCGATTTTGGGCTGGATGGGGTGGGTTAGTGATGTGTGTGGGTGATATGGGGGGTTGGTTATGAGGGAGGGAACCATACGTGACGTTTTAGGAGGGTTTCCCAGTGTTCTTTGACTGTTATGTTCATGTGGTAGGGGACGTGGAGGGTGGGATTGTTGAAGCCTACGACGAGCCTGCGGTCGAACTTGGGCTTTACGCCGGCTTTGCGGGAGGCCATGATGACTTTGGCGCCTTCTTGGGCGAAGCGTTTGGCGATTGCGTGGCCTATGCCTGAGGAAGCACCGGTTACGAGGGCGATTTTGCCTTTGAGGGGGTATTGAACAGACATTTTGGGGTTTGGGTTGTGAGTTGTGTGATGTTGAAGAGTGAGCGAGTTGAAGTGTGAATGAGATATCCCACTGAGTGATGTAATTGGTGGTGTATATTTTACGGTATAGTACACTTAATGTGTAATGCAGGGGTCGAAGTTACGCAAGCTTGTGATTTGGCACAACACACGACTAACTGATCGCCTGTATTGATCTCTCAGAGGGACGGACGAACTGCAAGATAAATTTAGGGGGGCTGCTGCCAAGGAGAGGCATCCAGGGGAGTTTGCAGACAGAGCTGCCTTTGCCTTCCAAGTTGTTGGATCTGGGACGGAGGAGGAACAAATCGGGTCTCCGCTGCGACGCAAAACCGAATTGCGACTGGGTTGGCTTTTTTGACTTTTACACGCTCCCGAGGTTTATCGCGATATTTTTTGAAGGGCTTGAGTGCTCTTCGACGTACGGACACACACATAACCAACCCAAGGATCTGTGAGAACACGGCGAGCGACAACGAATTTATGACGACGGCAACGGACGGTTTCCATGTGTAAACCTGCGAACGGCTCGGGCTCGGGCTCAGAGCTCCCAGTTGCCCCGCTACCTGTCAGTGGTGACGAGAAGGCGAAGGATGTGGTGGTGGATGCTGGATTGAAGAGCCTCGACCATTGTATGTCTCCCGAAGCGCGCGATTGTTTTCTGTCGGGGGGGATATTTGGAGAACAGCATACTTCTTTGTTGAGACGCGACACAATGTACCTTGAGGGCTTGAAGATGGAACAGGGCCGACGGTCAACCCCGCCTGTCTCTCCGCCATGTCTTCTACACTGCCGGTGGCACAGCGCTACTCGCATTCGATAGTCACGGGAAACGAGATGCTGACATGTGAATTGTGTAGATCGGCGAGCGCTTCCAAAATGGCGATATTCTTTGCGACAATGCCTCCTGCCGCTCGTGCGGTGGGAGACACCCTATCTCGCCGCTTTCCAGAATGCCGTACGAACACCAGCTCTCGATAGCTACTTTGCGATCACGGCCAACCTTGGCACACATACATTCTTTATGATTGGGCTGCCGATCCTGTTCTGGTGCGGCTTCAGGGGCTTTGGAAAGGGGTATGGACTTTTGCTGCAACCAGGCCACAGGAAATCGCGGCTAATTGGGGGTATACAGACTCGTTCATATCCTTGCTGAAGGCGTCTTCTTCACCGGCTTCCTCAAAGACATGTGCTCCCTCCCTCGTCCGCTCTCACCACCTCTCCAGCGCATCACCATGTCTGGCTCTGCTGCTCTCGAATACGGCTTCCCCTCCACCCACTCCGCCAACGCAGTCTCTGTTGCAGTCTACGCTATCCTCATGTTGCGAAGTGACCATAACATCTACTCGCCCACCACGACCATTGCCCTCGAAGCCCTTGCTTACTTTTACGCTCTCTCGATTGTTATCGGCCGTCTTTACTGCGGTATGCACGGGTTTATCGACGTCATTATCGGGTCTATTATGGGAACGGCTATCTCTCTCGTTGAGTTCTACTACGCCCCGGCTGTGGAAGAGTGGATGTACTCTTCCAACTACGCCGCTCCCTTGATCGTGGCGTTGATCATTCTTGTGCTTGTGCGTGTTCACCCCGAGCCAGCAGACGACTGCCCATGCTTCGACGACAGCGTGGCTTTTGCCGGTGTGATGATCGGGTTGGAGTGCGGTATGTGGCGGTTTGCGAGGTACTCCCCTTATGCCACTATCTACAACGGATCAGACGCTACGTTCTCCCTCGCTGCGATGGGGTGGCCCTTGTCTATTGGTCGCGTCGTTTCTGGCGTTCTGATGATCTTCGCCTGGAGAGAGGCGATGAAGCCAGCTCTGTTGAAGTTCCTGCCTCATTTGTATAGGTTGTTAGAACGTGTGGGCATGTCCCTGCCCAGAAGGTTCTTCGTGCCGGCGAGCGAGTACAAGGATGTGCCGCTGCATGTGAGGGATGATAACCTGATTCCGAATGTATCTGATTTTCCCAAGGTGATGAGGAGCATCAGGGGCCCGGGTCGCGGTAGGAGCGTGAGTATCGGGCCGCAAAGTGCGGCGGATGCGTATGAGACGTTGGCGTATCGCGAGCGGAGAAGGAGGGAGTCTTTGGAGGGTGACAATGGTGGGGTGAAGAGCAAGGAGAGCTTGACGTCTCTTAGGGAGAGTGCGGCGAAGCAGAGTGGGGTGGATGTTTTTGAGGATGGGGGGAAGAGTTCTGGGGTACAGCAGCAGAATGGGAGGGTGGCGGAGTTTGAGAAGATGATGGGGACGGGAACGGTCGTGGTTGCTAATGAGGAGGAGATGCTGCTTGGGGTGGAGGATGAGTTGGGGGAGAAGGAGGTTTTCTCGAGGCTGGTGAAGCCGAGAGTGAGATATGATGTTGAGGTAGTGACCAAGCTGGTTGTTTACACCGGTATGTTTTCTTCTGCTTGTGGATGGCGAGGGGTTCTTGTTTTTGGTTTACTAACGCTTGTGCCACCCCAGGAATCGCTTGGTTGGCCGTGGATCTGATTCTCGTCACTTTTGAGATGATTGGGCTTGGTGCGGGGCACTTGGTGGCGGCGGCACCATGATGAACTTTAGAGGTGAGAAGAGAAATTCTGGAATACACCAACGCCTTTTAATGTTTGCAACTTCTCTTTGGCTATTGGCTTTGTAATAGTTCTTGATACATAATGAATGAGGATTTGTGATGATGATGAGCCTTGCGTTTCTTGTGTCTAGGTATCGAGCTGGTTCTCTGAAAGACCAAGACATGGTCGATTCCACGGGCTCCAGTCAGAGGCTGCCAGAGATCAACAAAGGTCAAGGCGGTCAGGGACGCCCCTCTCTCGACCAGTCGGTCAACACCCGCCGGCCGGTGATGGAGAACCCCTGCGGCTCAACTGTGAATGGATGGATCAATCAGCGCCATGTTCTGGGTCCTCGGTGCCTGGGTTTAATCTAATCTAATCTCCATGTAACCCGATTTGCTGTCACCATCACTTACAGATCTGACTGGAGGAGCTTCGAGAAGCCAAGCTCCATGTTGTTTACATCCTGTCTTCGAACCTGCATCAAGTGCATCTCCTGCTTGACTTCTTTCCGCACTTCGCACGATAACTGGCGCATCACCTTTGAGCACATACTATATACTTGACGGCATTTACACTACCAGGACTCCAAATGCTTCCGAATCCATACCCCACAAAACAATCTACGTCTGATCTGTACCTGAGCCAAGTGAGGCTGGGCTGCAGGTCATAGGGTGCTACTGCATGGCACGCAGCACGAGGTTGTGGAGATGGCCGTTTTTATTCATCCCTTCTAGCGTAGCTGGAATGGAGTTTTCTATTTTCCAACATCACCACATCCACACACCTCCTTTGCCAACCTGGAAAGCTCCAGCTTCAAGCGCCGAAGCTCCGGCTTTCAGACCCGGCAGTGGCGAAGCTGGTTTTTGACAGATCTTGCACGTCGCCATGACGTTGGCTAGAACAAAGAGTTTTTCCGCAGTTAAACCGGGGCTCCCAGCTGCATCTGTCCAATCACGTGCAGAGCTGAAGGACAATTCAAAGTCTTGGCCTACCAGATCGAGTCTAGCCTTGGGGCATGATTTTATGAAGCGGAGGTGTTCGGTGCTGTGTGGCGCTCTGCCTTTCTCAACCCAGGCAAACCCAAATCGCATTGGAACAGACACCCAACCTCCGCCCCGAGTCGCACAGAAAGTGAGAAAGCTGCCCATCAGCTATTGTCTTTTTTTGCGCGAAGTATCTGGATGATCATTGTCTGTCTGGACCCCCAAATTCATACGGCGTTCCACCCGACTGGTGTTCACTTACTTAGTCTTTGGAGAGTCGAGTGCCAAGTTTCAAGTTCAGTGAAGATACAGGGACGATTCCCCCAGCAGGCTGCGCTCGGTCTCTTTCAGCCATCGCAACCGCTGCAAAGCCGCTGTAACCAACCAAGCACACGCTGTGCAGGGCGTGCTCAGCACCTTTCCCCTTCGGTTATCGCCCACTTTTTACCTTGATCCATCAGCCCAGATTCCGTCCAGATCGACCCATTCAGCAAGGCAACCTACAGTTTCCCTTCCCCCAACCCCCTCGGGAATCCAACAAATCTCCCAAGATATCGATCCTGGCCCTGCATCTGCCATTCTTCGACCCGGCACTTGCTGGCGCCTAGGCGCTTCACCGCTGAGAGATCTCGCTGTGTAAAGCGACGACAAACCGACACACACCGGCCCACTCTTCATCGCATTCTCCGCTGCTCATCGTCATATCGCAAGAGGGGGAAAACGCTGCAAAAATCAGACGCATGTAGCGTCTTCAGCGACAATGTCCCTCGAAGCGATTGGCGCTCCGGCGTCTGAGCCTACGATTTTCATGGATGTTAATCCGCCCGTCGTTGTCGTTGCCGTTGCCGACAGCTCAAAGCCCCTTGGTTTAAACTCGCCTCCCGACAGCAACAATGCCATGACTCTCGACGGTAGCGACTCGGAGCTCAGCGATATTGACGAGGTTGCCGACAAGCTTGACGGCAAACTTGAACTCAACGACGCGATCCAAGACGAAATCAGACTGGAGACGGAGCCTGCTCCTGCTCCTGCAAACGAAACACAACAAAATGAACCGGAGGCACAACCAGGACCAGCGGTTGAGGAGGCGGAAGATATTGGCGAGGTCCTTCCCGACCACTGGTCCGGTACTGTTCCGGTGTTTAAGCCAACAATGAGGCAATTCCAGGACTTCAAAGTCTTCGTACGCCTCGCTCCTCCCTCGCCCAATCCAGCTCTGTGGCCCGTGACTAACAGTGAAGTATTAGATGACCAAAGTCGACAAGTACGGCATGAAGTCTGGAATCATTAAAATCATTCCGCCCCAAGAATGGAAGGATTCGTTACCTCCATATGACGACATGGTGAAGCAGGTCAAGGTGCGCGAACCGATCAAGCAAGAGATCATGGGATCCAATGGCACGTATAGACAGGTCAACATCCTTCACCAGCGATCCTACAATCTGCCGCAATGGAGACAGCTCTGCGAACAGAGCGAACACCAACCTCCTGCCAGACGAGGCGAGCGCCGTGCCAATGCCGAAAAGAAGCCATCCACCCGATCACGCGCCGCTGCCAACTCTGGCGCCCCCAGGCCGGCTGCCGCTCCAGCCAAAAAGCGTGGCAGAGGAGGTAGAGCAACACGCGCTTCGGCCAGGACGGCGAAGAATGAGCCAGCCGAGGAGGAGGAGCGGCCAATGACACCTGTGTCTCCGGTGCCCGAGAAGGAAGAAGTCGTGGACTCTGTCGAGCAGGACCCCGGTGTCAAAGAGGAGGAACAGTGTGACGAAGATGATGGCGCGCCAGCACCGCGTCGGATGGGTTTCTCCAGACAAGGGAAGCCCAAGATGCAATCCGTGTCTGCCCGACGGAAATACGTTCGCCGTGAAGGTTCTGCCATGATTGACGAGGCCGCGTTCAAGGACTGGGATTATCGGATGGACGTGTCCGACTTCACCCCGGAGCGCTGTGAGGAGTTGGAAAGGATTTACTGGAAGACGCTCACATATGCCTCGCCACTGTACGGCGCTGACCTTCTCGGTACACTGTTCAGTGAGGATGTCAAGCTTTGGAACCTGAACAAGCTGCCGAATCTGTTGGATGTTCTGGGTACCAAGGTTCCCGGTGTCAACACTGCTTATCTCTATCTCGGCATGTGGAAGGCAACGTTTGCATGGCATTTGGAGGACGTGGATCTCTACAGCATCAACTACCTGCATTTCGGCGCACCAAAACAATGGTACAGTATCTCTCAAGCCGACGCGCGACGATTCGAGGCGGCCATGAAGAATATTTGGCCAACGGAGGCCAAATCTTGTGACCAATTCCTCAGGCACAAGGGCTTCCTGATCTCGCCTGCTCATCTCAAGCAACACTACAACATTACCGTCAACAAGTGCGTTTCGTACCCTGGCGAGTTCGTGGTGACGTATCCCTATGGTTATCATTCTGGCTATAACCTCGGTTACAATTGCGCTGAGGCCGTCAACTTTGCCTTGGACAGCTGGCTGCCAATGGGCAAGATTGCCAAAAGATGCCAGTGTGCTCAGGCACAGGACAGCGTATGGGTAGATGTTTACGAGATCGAGAGGAAGCTCCGTGGCGAGGAAACCGAGTATGAGGAGACAGAAGATGAGGACGAGGATGAGGACGACGACGACGGTGATATCGAACTGAATGGCGGGCTTCCGAGTCCCCCTCACAGCCATGGTGTCCGGGTTAGAGCTCCGGGCAGAAAGCGTAAGAGGGGAGCAAACGACAAAGATGGATCGGAGAGAAGAGCCAAGAAGGTTCGCGTGCGTGTCAAGCCCCATATCGAACCCCCGTGCTGCCTCTGTCCCAACGACATCCCCGGGGCCGAAATCATGTCGACGGACGATGGTCGCAAAGCGCATCGCATGTGCGCTCTCTACCTTCCCGAGACTTATATCGAGGAAGTCGATGGACAAGAAATCATTGCCAATATTGGAGGTATCAACAAGGACCGCCTGGAGCTCAAGTGCTTGTATTGCCGTTCCAAGAAGGGCGCGTGCTTCCAGTGTTCTCAGAAGAAATGCCACAGGTCGTATCACGCGACTTGCGCGGCAGCTGCGGGAGTGTTTGTGGAGGAGTCCGAAGTGCCGGTGTTTGGTGAGGATGGGACTGAGTACAAAGAACAGGCGTTCGAGTTCAGCTGCCGTTTCCACCGGACCAAGCGAGACAGAAAGGCTCAGGGCGGTGTCTTGGAGGACGACCCGAGAGTGCGGGAGGTGGCAGCTGCACTCAAGCAGAACGACATATGCCAGCTGCAGTACTTCCGAGGCGAGATCTTTGCTGGTGTGGTGGTGGAGAACCGTGCGGATGAAGAGATGCTTCTTCTTGATGTCATTCCGAATGGGTATGTCAGCCACAGTGTGAGGCTTGGGAGGACTAAACTAACATTTAGCAGCGATCGAGTTGAGGTTGAATGGAAGTGGCTGCTGCTGCCCGACCCCGCGGATTACCGTTTGCCCAAAGCTTCGGCCAATGCGATCCCGATGCCGACGTGCAGAAAAGCGAAGCAGGAGATCAATGCCAAACGCGCCGTCGACGAGGTCCCACGAAAGAACGACGAGTTCGGCACTGGGCTTGTCTGGGCCGAATTCCACACCAGCGATCCCATCAGAAACCGCCAGCAGGTCAAGATTGACTTTGCCAAAGAAAACCAAGTCTGGCACTACCTGGGAAAGACGTCGACAGAAGCCAAGGCTCAGTACACCGAGAACATCGCCAGGCCTCAGCACAATCTCAAGAGCAACTTTTTGGACTCGATTCCCAAACCAGTCTCGGTGGTTCCCGTGTCTTTGCTACCTCAGCAGGTCCGCAGCAGGACATTCACGGCGGCATACCCAGGCCAGGTTCCGTTTGCTGGCGGATTTTCAGCCATTTCACACCACGGAACACCGCTGGGACCATTGGCTCCTAAGCAACCAAAGCCATACATGTACAAACCTAAGAACTCTATCGAGCCACTGTCCCAGCCTGTGCAATTTATGCCGCACAAGTTTGCACTTAACCCAGCTCCGCCGGCGGCACCTTTCATGCAGATGCAGCACCACCAGCTGCAGCAGCAGCATCAGTACATCCAGCCACACCAGATGCATTACCAGCAGCCCATCCAACCTGCGCCTGCCCCTGTGCAACGGCATCCATTGCCCCCTCCAACTCAACCTCAGCCTCAGCATACCTTCCAGCAGCAAGTCTTCCAGCTTCAGCCTGCCCCTCCTCCACCTGCTCAGCAGCAGCCGCAACCTCCTCCTCGGCTGCAAGTCAAGCACTACCAGCCGCCCCTGAAGGAATCCCGGAAGAAGAGTTCGTCGACATCCTATTCGTCGGAACGTTTCGCGCCCGTCGGAGGTAGTAATGGATTCCCGCAGCTTCCTGGCTTGACCTGGCCCCCCGCTCACATGAAATCAGGGCAATACAATCAGCCTCCTAGAGACTGGCCTCAATCTGCGGCAGACAGGCCGCCCATGACTTTGGCGATGAAGCCCAAGGGTCCTGGAGAGGGGCAGCCGCAGATCCATGCGTACCAAAAGTACGCGTTTTTCCAAGTTCATCACAACAGGTATGTCTTGCTTTGTGTTTCCGATTTTCATGATTTAGTCACTAATATCTGCCAAAGGGATCCAGTCAGATATCAGACTCCTTATGGGCCAGGAGGAGGCTTCGTCAACGGCTACGAGCGTAACCATCGCGCATTTTTGATGCAAGCTCAGCAGGCCTTGAACGGAGGCAAGAAGAAAGCGCCAATGAGGACACTTCCTCCCCTGCAGCAGACCAAGAGCATCCAACCACAAGCTACCCCATCGCCTGGACCAGGTGGTCGGCCACAGGGCGGATACTCATCTCCATATGCGCAGATTCTGCCCCGCCCCGACACTGCAAGCAGCCAACAGTCGCCATTCACTTTTGACAACTTAAGAACGGGTTTCTCGCCGTCGCCCGTGTCACCCTACCAGCAGCACCAAGGGTTCTCAGTGCCCACGACACCTGCGAGCTCATCAACGTACGAGATGAAGCAGCCAGTATCAGCTCCACTGCATCCTGCCATCAACCCACAGTACGGGACTTCGTTCCAGCAACAACCACCATCAGGTGGAAATGACCAAACCAACCAACAGACATGGTCTGCGAGTTCTCAAGTATCAACGCCTGTACCTATCCCCCAGCAGCGACCGATAAACTCCGCACCTCCGCCCCCTAAGCCAGCTTTTACCAAGCAAAGTCATAGCCCGATTCCTCTGCCACCGTATGTTAGGCAGATGACAAATGGCCAAAAGTCATCACCTCTGAGCAAACCACCGGAGCAGGCGGCGCCTCAGCAGACGATGCCGATGCCCCAACCTCAGTACCTGTCGCATACTCCGTCTGGAATGTCTACTATGCAAAGTTACTCATATCCTGAGCCTCAGTCTGGACCTGCTCTTGAGAACGGATGGAGACCAGGTTCTGACCCTATGGTGATGGCAACAACCCCAAGCCCAACGACTCAGGCATCCACGCACTATCAACAAATGTCGACTCCAGAGCAACATCAGCAACAGTCGGCAGACATGACGTATCCTCCACCGCCAACACCTGACGGGGATCCGCAGAAAGAACTTACCAAGAGGATAATGCTCAGCCTTAGGCGGGCAAGTCAGCAAATGGGGCCGCTGAACCTGTAGGGTGGTGTTGAATGATGTTTCTCTTGACAAGGCTATGTATTTCTGAACTTCTGGCGCGAAGACTGGGCATGGGATGGGTTGAACATGGCAAGGCAAGGTACGGGTATGATACTCCATGGCGTTTGTGGCTAGGGTGGCTCCTACCAAATGGCTGGTTGGCATGGAACAAACTTTTGGGGGTCGGAAGAGGGGTAATTCATGCTCAAATGAGCTACTTTGTGTTTCTTTTTGCTATGGGTTTTACTTCATCGGTGGTGCATATATAATGTATGATATCATTAAGTCACTTGCTAAGCGGATTGGAGGAAGCGATTTGTATGTTTTACATCTGGTAAACGAGATGGGAAGTCCAGACTTTGGGAGGAAGAGAGAAATGGACGGGACAGCGCGGTATCTTTTGGGTGTTATAGGAGTAGGGGTTAGGGGGGCAAGACTTGTACCCTGTGAAGGGTAATTATGTAGTGTTGAACATGAGGACTAGGGAAGGATTAGTTAAACTAAGAAAGATATCATTGCTCCAATTGTGGTATATTTGAGTCTGGTGGATTATCGTAATGGGGTTGGGGTTGTCGTGTTTGACTTGATGGTGAAGGTAGCTAGACATGGTCGGATGGCTAGGTACCTAAACCATTACTTGTCTCAAGGTGCCCACTTCATCTCCTGAGCATTGCCCGCTCTTTTTTTCCTTCGTTTTGCAAGCTGTTTTCATCTCCTTGTCGTCTTATGGATGACTGCCAGCGTCTCAGCCCTAGTTCTGCATTGCCGTCCTAATCAACATTTGGCCAGATATTCTGACATCTCGTCAGTTTCGACGCCCCAGCTCCTAAATACTTCAATCACGACCGGCAGTCATCCCCACTACTTGACAGCACCATCCTGCCATGAACAAAGACACAGAACAAGTTCTAGTGGTTCTGAACAGCACACACGCTCTTCTCTCAACTTGAGCTGAACGTTAGCTGCATCCTTCAACTGAACAACATTTTACATACATTTAAATAATCCATCACGCCTCACCACTTCAAGTCCCAAACTTCTGCTCTTCTGACCTCTAGAGAATCTTTCCGCCAAAAAATGAGGCGGCGTCACCCGATCTCCACTCCCCTCGACGCCAAAGCAACGCCACCTTCGTCACGACCAGGCCAGCCAGCCTCAGGACCAGACCACACTACTTAGTTTGAGTTTCGAAGCACCATGTTCGTGGCGTGCGTAGTATAGCGGCATTACATTCTGCTCTTTGAGCGAAGGACTCGGCTTCGAATCCTGACCGACGACCACACAGCGTATTTGTGATTTTCAGCGTTTGCCTTTTTCTTCTTCTTTTTATCACTACCACCACCACCAGCAGCACCACTATCATTAATCATCCCCCAATCAATTTATGCCCAAGCCCAGGTAAATTCCCGTTTTTCAACAATTGATTTCCCTGCATTTTACGTAAATCAATCAAAGGGACTTCCTCTTACCCCAGATGAGAAGGACTGTAACTATTGCTGTCATTCAGCATTCCAGTTAGGGTTCAACGCTCGCTAGGTTTTCTCATCTACGTTGCGATTTCCCCTACCCAAAGGGTGCAGAGTACCAACCCGTGGCTCCTCAACTACATGATAGCATCTCTAACAGCGACTACTCCCATCTCACACTACTAACCAACCCACCAGCCCAGTGTGTGTTGAAATCGTTGCCATCAAGTAGATGTACATATCTCAAGGAGGGCGATAGTCTTTTAAGGCTTATCTTGCCCGGAATGACTGACCCCCTCGGTGTCTAGCTCCCTACCTACACAAATACAGACAGACAAAGAATGTCAAGGGCTGGAAGAGTTGATGATGACGACCATATCGCACACATCCCGGACAACCAGCTTAGAAAAGGGGACATATAACACAGAATATATCCTATCTATCTATACCTACTCCAATTTCGTTTTGCTCCTTTCCCCTCGCATCCGTGTTGCTTGTTCCTTTCCATCTCCCAGCTCCTGATAACATCGACTATCCAAGTCGATTGCTCACCCCGTTTCAATGTTGATATGTTTCCGAAAAGTTCAAGGGCGGCTGTCTGTATGATCATGAGCTGACCTGAGCGTTGCCAACATAGTCCTGGGCGATAAACATCAGCGTAGCCAGAGTCCGTAATCCATGCTGTCAACACCACCACCATCAAAGACAATGTTGCCAAACATCAAAATCCCTGTTCGACAACCAAACACACCTCATGATACACAATCTCAAAGACAAAACTCTGCCTGGTATTCTTTTCCCTATGCCTATCTGCCTAGCTCCAAAAAACGCCTTAAAACATGAACGGGAACTCGGTACAAAAATGCATACACAAATCCCCGCCTCCTCTCCATCGTCATCCATGCTAACCACATTAACAGTGCTACCCCCCAGTTGCCTATCTGCTCTCCAGCGAGGACATCTCACCTAGAGATAAAGAGAGTTAAAAGAAACGATATCCCTCCTAATCTTGCCCAACGCCGCCTCGAACTTTTCCTTGAGCTCATCACTCCCCATCACCTTGGCCGCCTCAGCCATCTGCCTAAGCAGCTCCTCCAACCGTCTAAACAGCCGGATCAGGGAGCCTTCATAAGCATTAGTCATTTTGCTACATCACACACCACTGTTAGTAAAACATCTTTCGCCCAAAAGTGCGCATAGAGAAACATACCTGATCTCAGCAAACGGCCTCCCATTCGCCCAAGCCATCACCGTCTCCATCAACTGCCACTTCAAGCTATTGACATACTCCTCCTCATTCACATCCAACTTGCTCTCGGCGCTGACCTTGGCAATAATCTTCGCCTGAGCCTGCACCTCCCTAAACGGCTTCGCCAACTCCTCCTTCAGCGCGTCCGTCTCAACCTTTTCGTCAAAGATGAACACGCTGAGGATGGCGGCCGTAACCTCTGGGGTGAGCTCGTTGAAGAACCGATTGAAAAGCAACTCCGCCAGCAGCAACTCATGCCCCTCCGTAGACGAAATCTCGCACGCCACCCTCGCCTTCATCTGCACAACCTCCTTCTCATCGATAAATCCCAACCTCCGCAGCACCCTCTTCCGTGACTTGAGCTCGTCAAGCTGAGCAATCGTGTGAGCCTTACCAATCGCCTTCCTCTTCTCCTTGATCTGCTCCGTCAACTTGGTCTTGGCCTCAAACTCCTCGTACAACCGGGGCAATAACGGCGAGTTGTGAAGGGGATTGGCAAGCAGTCTCGACTCCAAGACCTCGATCTTTCTGAGAAGCTTCCTAAAGCTGTCATCCCTGATGTTCATGTTCTCGATCGGGTCCATGATGGGGATCCCATCCGCGAAACGGCGCTGAATTTCCAGCAGAGACTTGCCGACGTTTTCCTTCTCCTCTCGTGACCTAACATCCTTGGGGAGGAAGACACGGAGCTGGCTCAGAGACTTGACGCAGGACAGGAGGCAAGGCACAACTTCCCACTCCCCCTCTTCGTCTGCTTGTTCTGGAATCTGACCTTCCGGCATGATAAACTTGCCGCCCTTCTTGCTAGTTTCCCTGACTGCAGGATTGAAGGATTTGCTCTCCTTGGAGAGCTTGAGAAGAACATCACAGAAGTACTGCTCCTGTGGCGGGTAGTCAGATTCGCCATGCTTGGGGGCCTTGCGGGCCACAATGTCGAACAAGACTCCCCAGCCGAAATTAACGCCCTCTGGAGTCTCAATCTGGATGACGCGGCCGGGCTGCATGAACTCCATGCAGTTGGCAGGGTGGTGAATGACGGAAGTCATGTCCTTGGTCAGCTCCTTAAGCTGCTCGCGGAGATGATAGTAGTCCTTCACCGTGCTCTCATCGGGGAGCAACATGGCATCCTTCTCCTCTTGCAGAGCAGTGAGTTCCTTTTCCAACTGGGGCACGCTAGCGGCGTTCTGGAACTGGAAGAAACACCTCTCGAGCATAAATTCAGGGGAGATGGCCTCGATACGCAACAGGTTGAGGATCATGTTGTAGCCAAGATGGAACGCCGAGTTGAGGCGGTCCTGGTGGCCGACAACGACGGACTTGGCAGTATCAGGATCTAGCTTGTCGTCAACCATCATAATGACGATACCGCGGTCATCGAGACCACGACGACCGGCTCTGCCAGCCATCTGAATGTACTCGGAGGAGGTGAGCGGTCTCCTGGCTACACCGTCCCACTTCGTGACTTGTGTGAAAACGACGGTCCTGGCAGGCATGTTCAGGCCGATAGAGAATGTTTCTGTGGCGAACAACACCTTGATCAAACCCTCCTGGAACAAAATCTCGATGGTCTCCTTGAGGATAGGCAGGAGACCGGAGTGATGGACACCTATGCCCTTGCGGAGAAGGGGAAGAATGTTGGTAATTTGAGCGAGGTTTTTGTCTTCGTCCGACAGCTGCTGAAGGGCGTTTTCAAAGACCTTGTCGACCATGAGCTCCTCGTCGGGCGCGTTGAACTTCATGTGGGAACTCTTGAGAGCCATCTGCTCGCAATCCCGCTTGCTGAAATTGAAAACAATAACTGGCTGAAACTTCTTTTTGACAATCATTCTGATGATTTTGGCGATGTCGGCTGTTTCGTTCGGGGCATCGCCACCCTTGTTGGTTTTCTTGTCCTTGCCCTTTCCTTTCCTCTTGGCGCTCCAGTCGGCAGGATCGGAGCCCTTGTTGGCCTCGATCAAGTTCATGGCATGCTGGAAGTTGTTCTCCTTGAAGTTGCCCTTTTCGTCAACGATCAGGAAGATACCCTTGCCACCGGCGGGGAAGAAGTAGTTTTGTAATGGTGTCGGTCTGAAATCGGTATAGACAACGTGGCAGGCTTGACGATGGATCTTGGCGATCCATTCGGCGAACTGGAAGGCGTTGGGAATAGTGGCGGACAGGAAGACGTATCGGACCTTGTCGGGAAGGAGGATGATGGTCTCTTCCCAGACCACACCACGAGTCTTGTCGCGCATGTAATGGATTTCATCGAAGACGACCCAGGCAACTTCGCGCATGATTTCGGAACCTCGGTACAGCATGGATCGCAAAATTTCGGTTGTCATGACCAAGCAACTGGCGGTTGGGTTGATGGTGACATCTCCGGTCATGAGACCAACATCACCAAACTCGGCCTGGAAGTCGCGGTACTTTTGGTTGCTGAGGGCCTTGATGGGACTCGTGTAAATGACTCTCTGATTGCGCTTGAGACACTGCGCAATGGCATATTCGGCGACGACCGTCTTGCCGGCAGATGTGTGAGCCGAAACGAGCACACTCTCGCCGCGCTCGATCGAGGCGACGGACAGGGCCTGGAAGGGATCGAGCTTGAAGGGGTACACTCGGGCGGGCTCTTCGGGAGCCTTGTGCTCGGAAAGAGGGATGTACTCGTAGTCGAGGTCAGGGGGGAGCGCGACCTGATGCTGGATATTATGCGACAGGACGATAGACTCTCCCTCTTCGCCAGGAGCGAAGCCTGCAGCGGCATTGACTTCTCTTGACTGGGCCGTCTGGAAGGAATCGGCCATGACAGGCGCGGCAGGTTCTGGCTCACCCTCGAGCTTCTGGCGCTTCATATCGCCGTGCGACATCTCTTGCGGGTGGTGTTCTTCGGCGGGCGATGCATCCTCGGTTTTGATGGACTGATCAGCCTGGGAAGCGGCATGGTCGGTGCCATCGGTCATTTCAACATCTTGACTCTGGTCGGCTGGGGCCTTGCGCTTCTTGGGAGCGCGAGGCTGCTGCTCGAAGACGTCGAATAGGTCGTCCATGGCGGCGACGCTGTGCAGTTTGTCTGCAGATGAGAGCTGGGTCAGGTTGGCTGGCCTAGAAAAAAAGTTGAGGTGGGTTGATTGGCAGAATACAGGGATGGCTCGTGCACGAAGCAAGTATCAAGGCGGTGAGAGAGATGTTTCTTCTCATCAACGGAGGAAAGCATCCAATCCTACTCCACGCATAAAAAGATAGTCCAACCTCAAGTTTTAAAAGATAGCCAAGAGGCCGAGAGATGACTGATTCCAGTGCCAGTTTGTAGGAAGAGATGCAAAGAATATTCTTGAAACACAGTTCAACTTCCTCTTGGTAAGCCAAAGCCATCGACATGTGAACGGAAGCTATGTGCAAGTTTGGGCAGAGATGGTGAATGTACTGGAACATATCAGAAGACTGCAAGTTCACATAGGGCCATCGAGTCGGCCATTCACTACAAACTCGAAGGATTGTCTTTTGCAGACATCTCCTTCGCATGTAGTTACACAGCATCCCGATTTCTGGTAGTCAGTTCTGGAAGCCAAATCGCAGTCCATGCTGCCATCACATATCATGGCGTAAGATACTACCTTTATATCACGCCTCTTGAAACATTCAATATATACCAGGACCAAAAGAGGCTATCCTGTATTGCAATGGAATGGCAACCATATCAAAATGCAAGTCCGGTCCGGCCCGTCTGACAAGAACAAGCATTCCCCAAGTGGGCCCCCCAGTGGAGCACCAACCCGACAGCACCGTCATCCCTGTCGAATTGGACCTCCGAACGTGGTGATCTCTGGAACCACTCTGAGGCCCCCGACACGCGTGGTGGCTCCGCAACAAAAAAAAAAGTGTTGAGCCCGCTTTCTGTCGCCATTTTTTTCTCTGTCTTCTCTTCCTTCTTTTCGTCTGTTCTTTCTCATTGGAATTGGAACCCATATTATAACAATCGGCACACCACCAACCATGGCGGCCGAACTCTCCCTCAAGCTCACCAACCGGGTGCCCAAAAAACCCATCAAGAAGCTCGCCCCCTCGGTCGAGCTCCCCCGCGACGCCACCGTCGAGGACGCCAAAAAGATTGTCGCCCGCGCCTCTGGCTTCTCCGACTTCAACCGCATCGGTCTCTTCAACCCCGCCGACGGCAAGATCCTCAAGGACCGCAAGGCTCTGATCCGCAATGAGGAGGGTGTCATCAAGGCCGGCGAGTTGGTCGTCAAGGACCTTGGTATGTTTCCCCCCCCCCCTTTTCTTTTCACCCCCCTATCTACCCCTCTTTGCTAACAAATATTCCAAAGGTCCTCAAGTAGCCTGGCGCACCGTCTTCGTAATCGAATACTTCGGCCCCATCCTCTTCCACGCCTTCATCCCCCTCATCCGTCCCTACCTCTACTCCATCTTCCCCGGCCAGTTCAAGTACATCTCCGAGTCCGCCACGCCCATCACAAAGGTTCAATGGCTCCTCTTCGCCCTCTTCCACATCCACTTCCTCAAGCGCGAGTACGAGACCCTCTTCGTCCACAAGTTCTCGGCCAACACCATGCCCGCCCGCAACATCGTCCGCAACTCGGCCTTTTACTGGATCATGGCCGGCCTCCTCTGCGCTCTCGACATCTACGCCCCTGGCAACCTCTCTGCCCGTGACGAGCTCGTCCCCCTGGACTATTTCGGCTTGGTCTTGTTCACGTTTGGTGAGGTTTGCAACTGGATTGTGCACCAGCACTTGGCTAGCTTGCGCAAGCCAGGTGGAACGGAAAAGGGCATCCCGAATTGTATCGGGAGCAACTTGGTCACGAGCCCGAATTACATGTTTGAGGTTACGGCTTGGGTGGGTGTCATCTTGATCAGCAGGAGCTGGGCGGTGGTGGTGTTTATCTGCACGGGGATTATTTACATGAGGGATTGGTCGAGGGGGAAGGAGAAGGCGTTGAGGAAGGAGTTTGGGGACCGGTATAAGAACAAGAGGTACACCATGTTGCCTGGCCTTATTTAGGTGACTGGTAGAAGGATGTTTGTGGGAAAATTGCTGTTGTAGGATGAGGTGTAAAAGAGGAGGAGGAAAAAATGTGAAGTGAAGTGTGAGAATAGATAGATAGCCCACTGCTTTGGCTGATTTTTATATAACTCAAATCCTTACCCCATCACCCCTTATAACCCTCCCTCTCCCGGCTCCGGCTCCGGCAACGGCACCTCCTCCGGCCTTGCCCCCTCTCCCTCACCCCTGTCCCAATCCCCCTCCCCTTCGTCCTCACCCCCACTCCAACAACTTTCACTCCCTGTCCAGTTCCCCTCCTCCTCGTCACTCGTGTTCCCTTCCTTGGCTCTCCTCAGCGTGTCCTCCAGTATCAAAAACTCCCGCTCGAGCATCTCGGCCCAGTTCTGCACATTCCCCACCTCTTTTACCTTTTTCCCGTACGTGTCTGCCATCTTTGCGAGCTTGTCGTTTTCCTTTTTTAGGCTTTGGGTCGCTTTTATCAGATCGGACTGCTGCTTTTCGATGGCGGCGTTGTTTTGGTGTAGGAGCTGGGCGCGGGGGGTAATCTCCCTGTCGAAGTAGTTTGAGAGGGTGGCGAGGAGGGCGGTGCGGGCTTGGTCTATTGCTTTTGGGTCTGGGGGTGCTGTGACGGGGAAGGGGTGAGAGGAGGAGCGGGAAGGGGGTTGGAGGGAAGAGTTGTTCACTGAAGGGGGAGGGTGATGATGGGACGGGGGTGGTGGGAGGTGAGGCTGGGATTGTGGATGTGACGACGAGGGAAAGGCCGGCGGCTGTGGTTGTGAGAGGGGAGGGGAGGTGTGGTTGCTGCCGATGACGGTTGTTGACGTTGAGGGTCCTGATGTTGAAAGTCCTGATAACAGCGATAAAGGTGACTTCCCCTTTGACAAAAACGACGACGACGGCGTGGAAGTGACAGACTCGGTTCGTGATCTTGACGCCGGTGATGATGTGCCATCTTGCGGTTGAAAAGTGATCGCCGTGACGGCTACACTGCTCACTTCCGGCGCTGACAACGTCGATGAGCTACCCCGGAACAGCATCCTCGTTGGCGGTGACGGTTTCGATGTCGACATGGTCACAGCCTAATGATACCCAGTATACAAAAAGATGAGATGACAAGGCGTGTCTATAGAAACGCGGCTCCCTGCATGCGCCGTACACGATCAGTAGATGAAATCGGCCGGTCCCTGACACGCAAAGAGTCTAAACCTCGGGGCTGACAGATAACTTTATATACCCGCCACCATGCGCATGTGAGATGTGAGATGCAGGATGGACATGTGGTGATGTGCAGGACGAATGCGGGGAAAGTAGATACACAGGAGATTGGGGAGAGAGGGGTCAATTTCATGTTACACCGGCTCACTCATGCTACATGCACACAAGATACAATACTCCTACAGCAGCATCAATCTCCAATTACTTGTATTCTTCCAAAACTCGGGAATATCTACTCCTAGGTAGGTAACTAATAAGCCCAAATCCAAGACCCTCTCGCCTGCCTAATATAGCAATAGTATAACAACTCATGCTTTGCTTGTTTTTTCTCCCGCAATCCAGAAACCATAACACATTACGTGATATATCTTGTGCTTTCTCAAACGAACGAACGCCGACCTGTGTAGATGATGAGCCCGTATTTTCGACCCCCCATGTAGAATGCAGAACCAGCCCGACAACCCCCCCCCAAAACACCAAACAGGAAATCAATCCAAAAATCCTACTCATACAACATGTCCCTCGTCATCCTTCTCAAAATCCATTCATTTTCCCATTGCTACCTCCTGCTGGGAGTCGCAACGGTAGCACACTCAAGCTCCCTTGCGAGTGCCCATGTCCTGGCCAAGGCATTGGGCTTAGGGCCGAGCTCGGAGTCGGAATATCCTGGCTCGAGTTCACAGAGTGCATGCTGCCCGCCGTGGTGAGACTCGCTGTTGTCGAGGTGGAGTTCATAGTCCCGTGCCTCGACATGCCTAGCCCTCCCATGGAGAGCAAGGTATCCGCTCGTTCAAATACATTGCCCTGGAACGCCGCCGCAAACGAAGCGCTCTGTGGGGTGGAAGGCACAGTCGCCTGGACTGCCGGACCCAAGGCGGCACTCTGCGGCGTCATCGGCAATGGTTGCAAGTTGTAAGGACTCAAATTCTCCGACCCATGATTAGGCCCATGCCCATGGTTTCCGTGATGGCCATGGTGCCCATGATGATGCCCTTGTCGTGTAAAGTATGCCCAAGGACTCGAGTGTATTAGGTCACATGTTTCCTTCATGCTCTGATGAACCGGTCGCAACCTCGACCTGGTGTCTATTGGCAGTTGAACCTCGCTTTGAAGTTGCTTGATCTTTGTGACCAGCATGTACCAGGAATCAATGAAACTGCTGCACAGGCCCCAAAACGGCGCCTGTGTCCTGATCCCTGGCTCCTTAAGCTTGATCGTCGACAGCTTCTGCTTCAAACTCTCTGTTTGCTGAATCGAGACTGTACACCGGTGGATCAACATCTTCCAGGGCTGCACAACGTGCTCGGGGGCTCGCTGCGCCATTGCCAGTCTCATCGACGACGAAAGCTGCTGGCTTAGTTGGGGTAGTATCCGCATGACTAGATCCGCCGTTTTGGTTAATGAGAGGAAAATCCGTTCAAAGACGCGGTCCTCCTCGGTAAAGTCAGCCGACAGGTTTCGGACACCTGACGTGCTGTTGGAAGCAAACGACTCCCCTGAGCGGGGTGTGGCAGCGCTCATAATGGCTGTCCTGCTGGAGCCATTGACAAATGGCCCCAGAGGAACATCGGTGGTCACCCGGAGGCTGCTCGGGTGGTGGACAAATGTCCCGTTCCGCGACCTGTTGTTGATCATAGCCGGGCGGTCGGCCGTGGGAGGAACAAAAGAATTCTCCCGCGAGTGAGGGCGGAGGGTTTCGCCCGGGTCCGTTCGCATATGCGGCGGCAGAGACCGCGGAGCGACCTGTGAGCATGTCACACGCAGCTCCATTATGCTATTATAGAGCTGCGTCAACAGAGTCCGAATGTACCGCGGGTCGCCATTGTCCAGAAAAAGGTCGACGTTGCTCATCAACAGCGAGCAGACGTGCGTGTAGGCATTGATCAGCGTGATGCATGCCCTTTGCACGTTTTCGTTTTCCCTCGAACCCCCAGCATCCATCGCCTGGTCATGCTTCTGAATCTCCAGCTCCAGCTGTTCCACATGGGCGTTGGTGTTGTAAAAGACAATCTCCAAAGAGTTGGACCGGCGCGAGGTTCCGTCGTTGGTCAGACCGATCAACATTTGGATCATCGGATGGATCTGGAAGATGGAATACAAAATGCCCTTGGAAGCTTCCAGCACCGGATCAAACACCTTGGACTCCCGTCTCCTCTCTGGCAGGATAGACAGCCTGCGCACGTAAACGGGCCGTTGCAGTGCCGGTTCGGCCGGGCTTGTGACGTTTGGACTCTGCACCTGCATGACGGTCCCGTTCCCTTGCATGGCGGATCCATGACTGAGCCCGCGGTAATGGCTGAACCGGTTTGTACCCTCGATTTCCTCCAAAGTGCTGAGCTCTGACCGCTTTGACACAATGCCCATCCGCCGTGACCTGCTTTCGGACCGCTCCCTGCTTGAGGTTTGCACAATCGTCTCTGAATTGCTGCGCACCCGTTCGTTTGGGTTACCGATGGTCAGCGGCATGACTCCAGGTCTCCGCTGTGCTCCATTTTGCTGAGAGAGTCCACGATAGTGTGAGCGCGAGGGAATTGGTGGAGGGCGAGTAAGAGCCGGTGATCGAAGATCGGGCATATCGCTGCCGTTGACCCGGACGGGGAATCGACCACTGAATACTCGCTTGATTGTTGGCCGCGGTGTTTCGGTTCCTTCCGCATCGTCTCCCACCGAATCGGAATCACCACGCCCATTCATACTTGAAGCCGTGAGCTTGAGAAACTTCTTGATGCGTGTCGTCAGGGCCACCTCGGTCATGTCACTCTCCTTGGCCGCTCCAGCGTTATCTCCGCCACTATCCCAGACCTCCCGGGGCGGAAACTCCAGGGGGTTGCCCTCAAGTTTGATGACCGACAGTGACGGCATTTCGGCAAGACACAGCGGCAGCTTCGTGATTTGGTTCTTGTGAATCGAGAAGACCTTGAGGGACGACAGCTTGATGATTTCTGGCGGCAGAGTTTGCAACTGATTTCGGCCCAGATCGAGAATCTCCAGGGATTTTAGGTCGCAGAGCTAGAGGGAGAGAGGAAGCGGTCAGCTAGCGCCAAGTCCCACCATTGGAAGATCAGTGCGTACCGCAAGGGGAAATTCTTTGATCTGGTTCTGTCGGACGTTGAGATACCGCAATGATGTGCATTCTGGCAGACGTGATGGGATGGTTTCCAAGTAGTTGTGTGATAGGGCAAGTCTAGACAGTCGACACAGGTCAGCAGGCCGTACACTCCCAGGTAGGCAAACAAACGAGCCGGGCCTACCGCTCTAGTTCGTCCTTTATTATGTCGACGATTTCCTCTGGCAACTTTGCAATCTTCTTCCTGCTCAGATCAATGGTGAGGCCTGGTTTTGGCAGCGTGTTGCTAACTCCGCTGGCGGCTGCCGCTTTCGCTTCGTTTTCGTGAGCGGCCCGCATGGCCTCCCTCGCGAGGGCGAGCACCTGGCTCGATGAGATGGGCCCCGAGGCCGAGAGGTTGGTATTTGACGGCACATCTTTGATGCTCGGAACTGGTGGTGGTGGAACGGGATTTGCGCGAGCAGCAGCCTCTACAGCGCGGCGGGCGTGGGCTGGGTTGTCGGGCAGACCCCGAGGAAAATCCATTATGGCGTCTCTGCCTTTGTCTGAACCCCCGTCTTGGGCGCAGTCTCTCCAGCGGGTACGGCCGTGTGAACAGAAAGAAACGGGACGACTGTCGCGGGTCGGTGTTTATTTATTTGGTGAGCATCGATGGGTCGGATTTTAGCAACGTCGGAACAGTTGGTCGGATGAGCTCATGGCTTGACCCAATCGCTGTCGGGACGAGGTTGCCAATGCTCGTTAGAGTGCTCGATTGGACTCCAGCGGTAGGCGGTGAAAAGGAAGCACGTTGCGCCCAGGGGGCCTGGGGTCGCGGACAGTCGACTGATTGTCTTCGGCGGTGCTTCGTCGTCGAAGCAAACACGGCTACACGTCGACAGGCTGTGATTTGTTTCCTCGAGGGGGGGGGGAATGGGACGGGATCGAAAATGTCTGACGGGCTTCAGGTAGCAAGTTAGCAAGTCTGGCCCAAGATAGGGGGGTTGCTGTAGGGGCACAGTTGGGGTGCATGTCACAAAACTGACCTGGCCAGGGGGTCTGGGCTTCGATTGCTTCGTCGCTAGCGTCTCATCTGTGCTACGGGTGTGTCCCTAGCATCCGCCAAGCACCACTGCAAGGGACAACAACTCGACCACAAAACACCAAGATTTCCATGTGAAACGAAACGCGTTGAATGAACCCTGCCAATGGAGGCTCTCCTTTCTTTCTGTCGCCTAGGGACAATTAGGACATTCAGAAATGCTACCTTTTACGTCAAGGCAATACTCCGAGATGGTGATGTGTAACAGTGGATGGGCATTGGCAATATTGACATGCTCTTTCTTGGGCGGTGTTTCTTGATCTAATTATGGATCTCGAAATGCTGCTGTGTCACACCCTCTCTTCCAGCTTTTATACAAAACCACGAGTCAGCTCGACATCACGACAATACCCCTTTCTTGGCGACAGGGAAATCGGCCGACAATGTCAGACATGCAGGTTGAATGCATGGTGGCTGAAGACAAATTGATGAGGCTGTAGATACCCTAACCCTACAAACAAAAGTGCTGGGATCACAAGAGAGACACCACGGCAGTGAGGAAAATAATGAAATAGACAAAAGATCGATTGATATTATAGACATTCTCGAATACTCTAGATAATCTCAATATGGAGCATTTCCCACAACCACAGCTTCCCTAACCCTTCTATCTGACAAGTCCCCACCTGCCCTTTTGGGTCTCAGTCAACATGTCTATCAGCTTGCGCTCACTGCCTGGCTTGTTGAGCCAGACACAGCACACGCTCGCTTTTGGAAAATAGCAAACACTTCACCGTTTGATATACTCACTCTTTTCTTGAGTCCGTTTGATGGTTTGGTTTTTATAAAAGGAGAAACGGGTGTCTCTGGCACCCAAACCTGCTGTCAAAATGCCACTCGTCAGAACCGATTCGATGCAGGACATCGACTTCACACTACGGCGCCAGTTTGGCAAGAAATCATTCAGGTAGCATCCCCGCCCCATTACATATGGGTTGACATATATACTGATACAACGAGTAGACCACAGCAACGAGAAATCATCAACGCCACTCTCGAAGGCAAAGACGTCTTCGTCCAGGCAGCCACCTCCTTCGGCAAGAGCTTATGCTTCCAACTTCCAGCCGTCATCGACCACGGGAGTGTGTCTTCATCTCATGTCTCAACATCCAATCACTAACAAGCCCCCAGTAACAATCGTCATCTCCCCCCTCCTCTCCCTCATGATGGACCAAGTCAAAGCCCTCCGCAACTCCAACATCGACGCCCGCACCCTAAACTCCAACACCCCCTTCGCCGAACGCGACCACATCATGAAAGACCTCGGCACCGGCCACCCCCTAACTCGTCTCCTCTACGTCACCCCCGAGCTCTGCTCCGGCCCCTACTTCCGCGAGCGTCTCGAGCTCGTCCACCGACAAAAAGAACTCGCCCGCATCGCCGTCGACGAAGCCCACTGCATCTCGGAATGGGGCCACGACTTCCGCAAGGACTTTAAACGCCTCTCCTGGTTCAGGGAGCGCTTCCCAGACGTGCCCATCATGTGCCTTACCGCGACAGCAAACGAGCAAGTCCGCAATGACATCCTCACCACCCTCGGCATCAACGGACCTAACCTCAAGGCGTTTACCATGTCGGCGTTTCGTCCCAACTTGCATCTCGAGGTGAGGTTCACGAGCGATCAGACAGACGACAGGTACGACGACTTTGTCTCGTGGCTCAAGGGGGTGTACGAGCGCAGGGGGAAACCGGATCGGAAACCGGAGCTGGACGAGATGGGGGAGCGGGTGGAGAACGTCTCGGGGATTATTTACACCACTTCGAGGGACGAGTGCGAGTCGCTTGCTGCTTCGCTGAGGTCGCATGACATTGCCGCCAGGCCGTTTCATGCCAAGCTTGCGAATCAGGACAAGGAGCGGACGTTGCAAAAGTGGATAAGGAATGAGGTCGGCTATGATATTATTGTGGCTACGACTGCTTTTGGGATGGGGATAGATAAAGATGATGTCCGGTTTGTGGTTCACTGGAGGCTTCCGAAATCTTTTGAGGGGTATTATCAGGAGGCGGGGAGGGCGGGGAGGGACGGGAAGGCGAGTTACTGCTTTTTGTATTATTCTAGGGAGGATAGGGATCGGGTTTGTGGGATGATTGTCAAGGACAATACGTCGGGGGATAGGAGGGATAAGGGGGGGGAGGCGAACAAGCGGGCGAGGATGGAGAGTCATGAGGCTTTGGTGAGGTATTGTGAGGATACGGGGGGGTGTAGGCATGCGGCGATTACCAAGTATTTTGGGGAGAAGGAGGTGCCAAAGTGTGATTTTGCCTGTGATTGGCATAAGGATCGGGAGGGCCTGAAGAGGAGGTGGAGGGAGGGGTTGGCAAGTGAAGAGTGGGTTTGTACGCAGAGGGAGGAGGGGGCTTTTGAGGATTATTATTACAGTGAGTAGATGTTGAGGAGGAGGGCGGGTGTGGAGGTTATGGTGTCAGCCGGTGGGAGAGACGAACATTGAATGTTTGACTGTGCTATTCGCAGCAGATGGGTGTAGCGGCCGTATCAGGCATAAGGACAGCTTTTAGCAGTAGAGCATACATCTAGCTCAGCATAGTTGTAATTACCTCGAGCATTTTCAGCTTCGAGCTTCGCTGTTTCAACCATCACAACCACCTACCAAACCAAGAAACACACATGGGTATCATATCACAACACAACCACCACAACACCTCTGCCCTCACATCACACCACTGTCCTTCCTAGTGACCAGGAAACTCCCTCACAAACCCCACCACCACCCCCAACAGCACCCCCAAACTCACAAACACCCCCATCCTCTTCGACCACAACCCCTCCTCCCTCAACAACCACCCCACCACCCCCATCGGAAAAATAAACCCAATCGCCATCCCCTTCACCAGCAAATCCACATTCCCTGCCCACCCCTCCCCCTCCTCTTCTTGCCTTGCGCCCCCCTCCCCAGCATCCTGCCCTGTGAAGCCCCCCCCATCATCAAGCCACGCATCTTCCAGTTCCAACATCCTCTCCGCAGAAGGCATATCATCCGGGGTATACCTGGCCGCATGCCACCCCCTAAAACGTCAGCCTCAAGTTGACAATCTCCTCCCTCGTCAGACTCCCCGCCAACCTATCAAACCCCCTCGGTTCCCTCCCTGTCCTGTTACCGCCTCCATCCTCGGGTACAGCTGGTGTTGGTGCCGCTGCTGCAGGTGGAGCGGTGGCAGCTTTTGACTCGGTCTCTAAATCCTCGGGGGAGAGGACATGGCCGATGGAGCAGTTGATGAAGACGCGTCGTTCTGGTACTGGTGCATCTTTTCTTTTTCCCTTTGGGTCGGGGAGGGATTGGGATGGCGGGGGTGGGGGGAGGGACTTGAACACTGTTGACAAGGGGGAGGTGTCGGGGAGGATGCGGCCGTTGTGGATGAAGCGGAGGTTGGAGGTTGCGCCGGTGGTGGGGGTGAGGTGTTGACGAATTAGGTGTTTGAGGGCGATGACGGTGGTGGTGGAGGGGGAGGGGATGTCGAGTTCGAGGTCGGGGAGGGAGGTGCTGAAGCGGATGGTGATGTGGAGTGGTTGTTGGGTGGGGGGTGGTGGTAATGGGGATTTGGATCTTGCCCGGGTGGGAGCTGATGATGGATGGAGTAATGGGGCGGTTGGGCGTTCGTTGCTGGAAGAGGATGACGAGGAACCGACGCTTGTGTCGCGTTTGGGACGGGATTTTCTGCTGCTGCTGCTGCTGCTCATGATGGCGGTGGGTGGTGGTGGGATGGTGTTCTCGAAATTGGGAATTGGGAGTTGGGAAGATGACGATGCAGGGGTGAACAAAAGACATGGATGGGGCCGTTGAGTCTTGGCTTTGGGGCTTTCTCCAAATTTCCCCGCAAAGAGAAGGCTTGGCATGCATTATCCGGGGTTGGGGTTTTTGACGACCAACTTCTCGAGCCGTGGACAAAAGAATAAAGAGTGTTGCTTGAGATGACAGCCTCGACTATCTTAACAGCGATCCTCATTATCGTCAAAGGCGTATCAATGTAGATTCAAGGCCTACTGATTAGATTCAAATGCCTCCAAATATAATCAAGACACTTCAAGTATAATCAACAAGTCTTCAAACATGGTAGTGCAATCTGAAATGAGGGTCTCGAAGGCAATTAACACACGCCTTCGACTATGATAAAAATCCCGAGAATTATCCCAATCATAAAGAACAACCAACTCCAACGGCATTCAAGAGAGCTCTCTAAATCATTCTAGCAACTCTCACGAGCGCCCTAGACATCATCCCAGTAATGAAAGATCCTAAGCCCAGCAGCGTTCACAAAGGCTCTTTGGATAATTCCAGCAGCGGTCAGGAACGCTTAAGACATCATCCCAGCAGTCGAAGGGGAATATAGGTATTGCCTTTTGAGGCTCTTATTTACATTGAAGTCTCTTTCACTCTATGCATGATGTCCTGCTGAAGACTTTTAAGACATGTAATATTACAGTAATGTACAGTGCTATAATATAAACAGCAATCCCGCAAAGTCGTCTATTTGTAAGTCAAAGCAGCATGAAGTTAGAAGTATGAGAAGACTGAAGCCTAATGCAATACACCCCTTTTTCTAAGCATTCCCCCATCCATTACTAGGTACTCATGCTTGTTTATGTTCCCTCCACCTTAATATCTCTGAAAGCCTGTTGAGTATCTTCCAAGGCTGATGTGACGTTTCAGCTACTGTGAATTTGTTTACGATGGGTTGTTGAAGACTGGCTGTACATTCAAAGACAGTGAACATGCCTTCAGACAAAATGAGTACGCCTTCAAATGGAATAAACAGACCTGTTAGCTATCTTTGAACACCTGTTGACTATCGTTTAACGCATGTCGACTATCTTTTGACGCCTATTAACTGTCTTTCAACGCCTGGTAATTATCTTTGAAGGCGTAGCTATTATCTTTCAAGGTCTCTTGATTATGATTGAAGGCCTTCAAAGATAGTTGACAGGCCTTGTTATGATAGTTGAAGGCGTGTCTGTTGTCTTTTGAGGCCTTGATTTCACATTACAGTCTCTATCACCTTGTGCACGATGTGCTGTTAAGGACTTTTGTACATGTATAATACAGTAGTGTATCAGATTATAAACAGTATTCCATCAACTATCCCGCCCTTTGTGTTTCCTCCCAGATTGTGCATGAATAAGCCAAGCAAATATGAAGCCAAATTAACAAACCGAAGCCAAAACAAATCTCCCAAAGCATTCTCCCATCCATTGCTCATGCCTCTTTGTGTATCCTCCACCAGAAATTCCACCAAACAAACATTTCAAGCATATCTCCACCAGATAATCATCCGCAGCAAATCACTTCTTCAACTTCACATCCATCTCCTTCTTAAATCCACGCCAGACCTTCTTGGCCTTCTCCAACATCTTCTCCTTTCCTTTTCCAGCACGGGCCTCCTCAATAGCCTTCTCATGCTTCTCCTGAATGTCGACCAAATAGTCGACGATGGATTGCCAAGTTTCCTGACAGTTCTCGCTGGTCAAGGCAGAGCACTCGGCGAAGCCAGCCGCGTTGATGGCGGCGGCGGCAGTTTCACCCTGGATATCAGTGGCGGGCTCAGGGGGAACAAGGAACCTCAAACCCAAGTTGGGAAACGTAGGACGACGATCAACCTTGAGGCCAATGACAATCAACGGCACATCACCGTGGAGAGAGGCAGCCAGCATAGGCTTCTAGACCGTGCTGAGGCCATCCAGGTTCCGGTAATCCTCGAGATCGTAGCAGATGATGGCGGCATTGAAGAAGGTTGACCGAAGTTGGGTGTCATGACGGCCAGCAATCATGCCAGGAAAGTCCCACAACTCGACCTGGGCAAGGGTCCGACGGGTAGCATCGCCAGTGCTCATGGTGCTGATGGTGCGGATCTCTGTCGACGTAGAGGGGGCGCCGGGAATATATCTCCCCATCACAAGACGGCTGCATTCTTGGTTAGTGAATATGACTAGGTTGGTGGAACTCAGAGAGCAAAACTTACTTGAGGAACGTGGTCTTGCCAGTCCCCGGGTGTCCCAAAACGCAAATCTTGAAGTTGCGAGTGGTGATGACCGGAGCAGGCACAAAGACCCGGGACATCATGCTGAAGGGGGTACTTCTCCCGCTCTCACCAACGTGGTGTGACATGACCGTTCCAGCGCGGGCCATGGTCGAACCGTGGTCGTCCACGGACGACGAAGTCACCGCTCCCCCGCTCACGCGGGAAAGAGCGCGCCTGAACGGCGCGGCGATCTTGACTCGCTTGCTGGGGCCAGCCTCAAGATCCTCCAATGTCGCGACTTTATTAGTGATATTTTCAAAGAAGTAGATCAAAAGTTGGAAAACTTACAGCTCCCTGTCGCTTAGTCCCAGTCTGCCGGTTCTCCGTGGTCGACTCCCCCATCTTAACCTCGTCATCCTCCATCACGGTCGCCAAGCTTCCAGCTTGGCCTCCATTGGAGGAGCTGACTTCGGGCAGAGCGACTCTCTGCGGCCCAAATGGGCTCTCGGAAAGCGAAATCCCCTCCAGCCAGTCCTCGAGGCGACGACTTGGGAGGTAGGTCACCTCACCTTGGTTTAAGAAAGCCTGGCCGTACAGGCGGCCGGCTTGGGCAGAGGCGGAGTCGAAAAACTCCTCTGCTGGCCCGAGAATTATCGAGCGCGAGTGCTGCAACTGCGCAGACTGCGCGCCCAGTCTGGCAGCCCGGTTGAGGCTAGCCAGCGCCTCCAGGTGCTCGTCTCTGGGGGCGTTCATTGTTGCTGCTAAAGGGGAATCGGGTTCAGCAGCGAGGTAAATAGTGGCGTTTCGAGCTCTGGGTTCGTTGAGTCGAAAGCCAAAGCCTGTGACGGGGTGTGGCGACAATCCCAAAAGATCTGGATCGAGGAAAGAACGGTTTGACCGACCTGGAGTCGGGATAAGAGATCGATGAGGTTCAGTTGATCGAAGACGTCTTGGTGGAGGCGGAGGCAGAATATCAGCGTCAAGATGAAGGTCGACCTCTTGATCCTCTGGGGCGAGCGTGTAGTGAAATTCGTGGGTCTCAAGGTGCGACGCTGAGAGGGGAGGCAGGCTGCTCTCGGCGCAACTCGCGCTCAGTGCCCTCTGGCGTCCTCGCATCGAGCTCCCCGGCAGGGCGCGGCCACCTGCCATCGGGATCCGCATGCTGGCTGGTCTGTTCGAGCCAGAGGCCATGGCTAGTCGCATAAAGTCGCACAAAACGAAGTTTGGATAGTAAGATGATACAGCCTTTTTCGAAGACAGACAAGATACACAGCTGTGAGCTCTGTCAAGAGGTAGAAACGACACTAAGAGAAGCTGGGCGAGCCGCCACGACAGAAGAACAAACCCGCGATAGTTGTTGTGAGAAGGAAGAATGAGAGAAAACTCCTGGCAGGCAGAGGAACTACAAGATCAGAAAAATACCTTGGGCCGGTGTTTAGGCTGCAAAGAGAAGACGGCAGGAGCGTCGGGGGCATGGTCCGAGCGCCTTCGTTGAAGACTATGTGCCTGGTTGTCTGCCTGGGTTGAGGACCTAGGGGCTTTAGAAGACAGCGACTGCATAAGAGCCATCCCGTATAGAATCCGGATTGATGGATTTCTTGCTGGTATACTTCAGAGTGGTCGAGGTTGTGATAGCGTACTTCATATCAACAGTCTTTTGAGACCGTAGAGGGGTCCAGTCAAAGTCACAGCCAAATGATCACGACCAAGGAGCAGATTGCATTCGACACCACACATGGAAAGCCGACTTTTATGTGCCTCTGATTTGAATATACTCACAATTGGAAACCATGTTGTTCATTCTGTAACTTGGCAAAGTCAACTTGCTGCCGTCACCATCACCATCTCAGGGGTAAATGTTTAGATATTCACATAAACTGCACATACCCCCATAATTGCATAAACTCCAACAATGACACAATGCTCCCCGGACCCACATCGGCTCCGGGATGACGGCGATTGCGCAATCCAGGGATTCCCCCCCCCTCAAGTCGGTTTACAGCGGCCCACACCACCGATTGCGGCAGCTGTTTGAATGAGTAATGAGTCCTGCCTCTTTTGAAGCCGAATTATCTCTCACTGTGATTTTTGCTGTCTTTCATCAATGAGCTCGTCGCTCCTCTCGCCTCTTTTCCGGCGACAGTTATTCACATCCCTTCACAAAGTTCCCACCAGACGAGCCTTCCAGAGTACCCCCTCCATCATGAGTGAGAAACTGAAGCCCGCGGCCCGTGTCGCTGGTAGGAGGCAGGATGTTTGGTGAGATCTCACATTTCTCTTTCAGTATACCTACATATCATTGACTCGAGACAAAAGGTCCATCATCAACGAAGCAGCCTCCGCCTCCCCCATCCAGCCCATCGTCAACATGGGCCAAGGCTTCTTTGGCTACAACCCCCCAGACTTCATTCTCTCAGCTGCCAAATCCGCCCTGGACCGCGTAGAATGCAACCAGTACTCCCCCACAAAGGGCAGACCACGCCTCCTCAAAGCCCTCGCCGACGCATACTCCCCCTTCTGGGGCCGTCAACTAGACCCCAACACAGAAATCACCGTCACTACCGGCGCCAACGAGGGCATGCTCTCCGCCTTCATGGCCTTCATCGAGCCCGGCGACGAAGTCATCGTCTTTGAACCCTTCTTCGACCAGTACATCTCCAACATTGAAATGCCCGGCGGAAAAATCGTCTACGTGCCCATGCACCCACCAAAAGAAGGCGCCGTCAAAACCCTCTCGGCAGGGGAGTGGACAGTCGACTTTGACGAGCTCGAAAAAGCCATCACGCCCAGGACGAAAATGATTGTGCTCAACACACCCCACAACCCGGTAGGCAAAGTCTTTTCCCGGTCCGAGCTCGAAAAAATCGCCGAGCTGTGTCTCAAGAACCAAATCATCATCTTGTCGGATGAAGTCTACGATAGGCTTTACTACACCGACTTTACCCGCATCGCGACTCTTTCCCCTGAGGTTGAGAAGATTACCATTACTGTTGGGTCGGCAGGCAAGAACTTTTATGCCACTGGCTGGCGGGTGGGCTGGTTGATTGGCCCTCCCGAGCTGATCCAATACGTCTCTGCCGCTCACACGAGAATCTGCTACTCTTCCGTCTCCCCGCTTCAAGAAGCCTGCGCTATCGGGTTTGAGGAGGCGGATGGGCACGGCTTTTGGGAGCAGTGTATTGCTGACATGACGGCCAAGATGGAGAGGTTTACTGCGGTGTTTGATGAGTTGGGGATTCCGTACAGTAAGCCCGAGGGGGGGTATTTTGTCATGGCGAATTTTAACAAGGTGCAACTTCCTGAGGGGTACGAGTTTCCGAAGCATGTCGAGGAGAGGCCGAGGGATTTTAAGCTGGCATGGTTTTTGATTCAGGAGTTGGGGGTGGCGGCTATTCCGCCGAGTGAGTTTTACACGGATGAGAATGCCGGGATTGTGGAGGATTATTTGAGGTTTGCGGTTTGTAAGCCTGATAATGTTTTGGAGGATGCGAAGGAGAGACTTAGGGGGCTGAAGAAGTACCTGAAGAAGTGACGGCCTGTGTTTTTGAGTGGCAAGTGTCGGAAGAGCGGCCGGTTGGGTCATGTTAGCATTTTTTTTTTTTAGACAGCAAGTGTGATTCTATTGATGGAGGGAATAGAAACTGATATTCCTTATATAACCGCACACTTTGGTTAGGGGGTATATACTGGATTTGTTGATATATCCTTCTAGCCCGCTTAATCTGTCTTGGACAACGCCGGTTTCCCTGTTTTGGTGACCTTTTCCCATTAAAACTCACTTTGGGGTTGGTAATGCCATTACCCCCTTAAATCCAACGCCTGCCGGACCTGCCGCTTTACCAATCCCTGTACTCAGCCCAACATATTCCCCATCCTGATGACACTTTCCCATACCTATGTATATGTCAAGTATTAGTTCCTCAATCCCGACGCCGCCGTGTACTCTCTATGCTGCTGTTGATGTTGCGCTTGTAACTGTGGTCCAGGCGGGGGTATCAAGGGCGAGCCCGCCAAAGTATCCCATCTCTCGAGGAAGTGTTCCCAGTTCAAGACACCGTCGTCGTGATTCATCTAGTCTCCCTATCAGCAGCCATAACCTTGATACCTATTTCTCGGGAGACCTACCCCATCATTCACATAACCATTCGTCACAGGCGGACCCCCCACTCCCGCCGCCAGTTTTGCATAACCCGGAGGAGGAGCTGGTTGGTGCTGGACCGCACTCGCCGAGATCCCCATCTTGGCCAGAGCACCCCCCACAATATCTTGCACTCTCCCAACCATTCTCTGCATCTTCTGCATCTTTTCATCCATCGCCCCCGGCCAAACAGAGCTAAGCACCACCCCCAACGCCACAATCTCGTTGACGTCGCTGCTGGCGTCTGGGATCAGGGTCACAAGCCGGTCGAGGGTTCGCTCGACTGTTTGTGCCATTGTTACCGCTGACCAGGGGTAGCTCGGCCCTCTCGCCCCCGTGCCAACAACACTGAGCAGGTCTTCGTCGTAAGGATTGTGGCTGTTGCTCTGGGAATGCCGATGCTGATACTGCCGAGGGTACGCCACCTGCGGGTGATGCCAGGGCTCACCGTCCGAATTCTGCGATATCTGTGAATTATTCCTCTGTTGCTGTTGGTGCTGCTGTGCTCGCTTGATGTAAGCACACACACCCAACCCAGCCTCCACAATGTCCTTTTTCATGACAAACAGGTACATCGCCACCACTTCTTCGTAGCCTGGACTCCTGGGGTCGATTTCATCGGCATAGGTCAAGATTGCCATTGCTGATTTGAGGTACGAGAGCTCAATGTTTGACGGGCAACTGCTCGGGTCGGAGAGGAGCCCTAGAGCGAAGGGGCGGTATAATGCTAGTAGTGGTCGGCGGACGTGCATATCCAACAAGGCTCGGTGTCGCCATTCTTTGTGGCTGTTTTCTGGGTTGAGAGAGGCGTGTCTTGGGAAGAGGGCGGCAATGTCGGAGAGGAGGTTTTCGAGGTTCTGGCCAGCGGACAGGATAGGTTGGTAGGAGTCGAGGGTTGGAAGATGGGATATCAAGGCTGCGGCTTCGATTCTAGCTGGGAGAGTCCGGGAGGTGTAGGCTTGAAGGCGGTTACTCGTAGAGTGGTCGAGTGGGAGTGACGGCGGCAAACTAGGCGTCGTAGGGGAGAGAGAGCCATCGTCGAGATTGGAGGGTGGTTTGCAGCTGTATTCACCCGCCCGGATGGCAAACGGAAGGGCGCACATCAACGAAATGTGGAGGTCCATTTCAAGCAGAGTGTACCACAGTCGTCGGCGCATCTCACCGATGAAAGGACTTGACGGGGGAAGCTCAGAAGGGTCTCGGTGGAGGTCCATCGTCATGGCCATGCGAATTATGTAGCCTAATTGCGTCCAGGAGGAGCGTTGGTGGGGGCAGATGGTTCGTTCGGCGTGGAGAAGGAGGAGCTCGGTCTGGAGGGTGGTCAAGTCGGTGATTTGTTTTCTTCGAAGATCATCTAGCCAGTGCCTGACCAAGATGCAGGCAGTGGGGATGTTGACGCTGGTGAATCTATCCTGCCCTAAACCTCGAGAATCTGTCCCAAAGCGAGCCGCGATGCTGATCATGCAGAGCAACCGAGGAAGAAAGCTTTCGCTACAGCCTCGTTTGTCCCAGTACTGGGCGTATTCTTGGTGGAAAGACGAGACGTGGACCATCCGATACAAGCCTTCAGAAACGACAAAATACTGATTGACGAGCCTGTCGCAGACGGATCGTGGTGGTAAAACATCGTTCATGCGTTTCTGAATTGGCATCATGGAATCGACATAGACGGTGATGGGCTCGAGAGCCTTGTGGTGTTCCTTTTTCAGCACTCGGCATGCGTTCTGTAGGCGGGCAAAGGGTCCCCGCAGGTGATCTGTTCTCGCCATGGTTCTCAGAAGATCATCGGCCTCGTCGAACTCCGATGGACGTCAGTGTCTCAGTTTGACCGTTTCATCGAGCACATGTCTTACAATATTCAGCAGAACCTGCGTGCTGTCAAGACCTTGGGGACTTGGGAACCGGAAACTTGGGTTGAATGGACGGCTCCGAATGGCCATTGACTGTCGGTAGGGAAATGTTGGCGAAGACTTTTCTGTGATGATCCTCTCGAGGCGCTCCAGCCGTGCTGCCATCTCGTCCAGGCCGACCTGAGGTTTATGGTAGTGCTCCATGCCGTTGGATTGCGAGAATGGTCGAGGATAATCTCCATCATTGATGCTGGCAAGGTGTTGAGGGCGTTTGACCGGTCTTTCAGCCGATTCTCCATCAGACCCGTCTGAGCCACCACCATTCTCCTGGTCAGTATATCGACAAGGCCTTCGGGACTTCTGACACTGAGAACATGGTGCTACTCGATCACACTTCAACTTGCGCTTGCTGGCCAAAAGATTAGTTCCAGGCTTCTCCTCCCAGGCAGAAGCTCATCCCTTACCGGCATTCGACACAAGACTTGACTGGTCGAGGGCGCTTGACGCTCTTTGGCTGGACTGTTGGATCTAGCACGGTCGACGAGGTTACGGACGGTGTTCTAGGCAACACAGGACCTCCACCTTCGAGCAGTGCTTCCATGGTGACCTCTCGAGAATGACCTGTCGTCAGTGACTGGCATTGGAAAATTGAACGAGCAGAAAATGAGCGGTGGCTTGGGTGTCGACTCTCGAAGGGCTCAGCTTGGGGCAGCGGTTTGGCGGGATATCAGAAACTTTGTGGTTGCTTCTTCTGGCGTCCCTTTGGCAAGCCCCCTTTTAGTCAGTCAGGAGGCATTAGAGGGAACACACGGCCGGTACGGTATTGCGCTGTGTATGTCACGAATCCACGGTCTCCCGAAACAACTGACTTCTCGCAATGTGCCACAACCCGCCCTCTGTTGGCCTCTCAGCCGCGACATGCGGCACTTGGGCTTTGGGGGAGGGGGGGGAGATAGGTATGGTTGACGCAACATTGAGAACATGGCGAGCAAAGGGCGAGAGCAAAACCGTCCTTGTATGCATGCATCCTGCAAGACTGCCCTGTCCTGTCCTGTCCGCCTCAGCTCTCCCGAGAGTCGATGTGTATGTGGTTGCATGGAAAATGGCCAGGTTGAAAGACAAAGACATGGGGGGTGAGTCCCCCACAGAGACCGGGTGCAACCGACATTAGGGGCTAGGGCCCCGTAGCTTAGGCCACCCTAATGCACAACTTACAGAGGAGTAGGAAGCTAAAGGAAGCATCACAAGGACAGCCCAGGGCCATCCTTTCATCCACCCAACATCCAAGGTAACGACATGGATGACATCGACTTGTACCTTTTTTTTTATCCATGATCTTTTCGGAGCCGAACCCCCATGACCACCACCACATCGTCAACACACCCTCGGACACGAAAATATCGCCGATGGATGCAGGCCACCCTCCCCAGAGGAAGTCGTGCGCAAAAAAGAAGCAATGCGAGCACACGGCACCAAGCAAGGAATCACGAAGTGGTCAAAGATCAATCCAACAGGAGGCGGAACCCGGAGGTTGGACCGTGGTTGAAGATAAGGTTATGACATTTGGCAGGCACATTATTCTCCGTGCGAGGAACTTGACGTTGGTACGAGGCCAAGCCGACATAATTTCCAGACTCTCCAAAGCATGGTTGTCGATCCTGCAACCATAACGCCTCTCGCCTTCCCTTCTGGATACTACCTCCCTCTCCAGCCTGCCATCACTTGATATTCAACATCGGCCCAGCCAGTACTCAGGCTTCGGTGCTGTCGTTTACTTCTCGTCTCGACAGATGAAGCCACGGGCCGAGGACTACCTCAAACTCAGGTCCGCCCAGCCCGGATATCCCCTCTTGACACGCCGGCCTTTCTCTTTTGGCTCCGCAATCTTGACGCCACGAATGTTGGTTCCGACGGGCTTTTCGTTTTCCTCTGTATGATGAAATCCGAGGCAGAACAGAGTCGGGATGAGCTGTGATCGCTTCGGCTGGCCTTTGATCTTGTTGGACGGCGCAGACCGTCCCAACCACCAGACATACGGACCTGGCATATCAACACGGCGTTCGCTTCTAGAAGTCCCAAGTGTGGCACATCCATCTGATGGATAACACCAATCTCGTGAAACACCGGCGATAGGACACCTATACGTGGTACGGTGGGAAGATCACCATCTGGAAATTTCACACACTGAGCGCCCTTCGGAAGCCTCCGCCCGTCCTCGGATTTATTTCAGATCTTTATTCCGGGGTAGTCGCAGTAACGACTTCCTAATGGGTCTAGGGTACCTACCTTAGTTGGGATAACGACGTTGGTGGCGTCAACCTCCCACTAGGGCTCTCGCCAGTGATCCCAAGCTGCCCCGTTTTCGACCGCCTACGGATACCGAGGCCACGAGCACCCCAACTGCGGTTGCTCCCTCGCCGGACCCAAGCCTAGACAGCTCGTTCCTGGACCTACCAGAGACAGTGGAAAGACATCGCGACTCGAGCTGGTCAGAACTCTAGAAGCCACACCCCACGCACCCCCAACTGAAACAGCAAGGCCAACGCAAGGGCACAACACCCCTTACCCTTCTCACACACACCACACACGAGCCATGTCGTTATCTTTTTCCACTTCGAGGGCAAATCTAAACGCCTCTCATATGCAATCATATATGCCAAGCTACAGCTCACACTACACGGGGACCGGCCCTCGGCGACAACGGGCGGCGGCGGCTCATTATAAGCGAGGAAATAGATGAAGCCAGTCCCAGGGCAGCATGTACAGAATCTTCCACGCAGATTGAAGACCACTTTCCATCGGTGGGCGTGGCTTTCGGTTCCTTCGGCACTTGAGGGCGGGAAAACCGTGTAGCAATATATCGAACGTTTAGCACCTTGCATTGAACAAGCCGGATTTGTATACCAATACATACACTACCTCCGGAGACCACGAGATAAGTGCAGGATCTGGCACAACTTGACAGACGAGCTTATGCATATACCCATCCGCTACCCGGTTGAAAAGGCGAGTGAGTTACGTATCGGTTGGACTGACCATTTGGGGTAAAACAGTCAACGTGGTCGATCAATATGTTGATGAATAGCCGGCGGTATTAAACGGTATTCACGCATTTTTTCTCCACTGACAACAACCAGATCAAAGGGCAAATGTTCCTGACTAACGGCCAGAACCACCCAGGCAAACTGTGAAGAAAAAACGGCGCTTTTATCCTGACTAAAGGCCCAGCAACCCAGACTGAGTCAGGCCGGTTGGGCGTTAACCAGGACTCTCGCTCGCCGGTCCACCACCACCATCTCATCCCATCCTACCACTCACTCCCACGCTCATGGCTGCACTAGAAAACCACTTGGACAAGCCACGCCAACCACGAAGGATCCTACCCTGGCTCTGGAAAAGCCTCTAGCCTTGACTGTTGGCTCCCTTGGTTGCAGCTCTAGTGTGTAGCTTACCCATCCGGTAGGGTACCTAGGTGGGTGTGTTGGTCCGGCAGCCGGCCGGCCGAGTGACAACGGAACATAGTGGACGACACCACCAACCCAGCCAACAAGGTGCTTACATTAGTTTTGCTGACAAGCATGTGAATATTGGATATTTCTCACGGAGGAGAGAGAGAAAGGGTTTCACAAGGAAAACTTGTGAAGTAAACCAAAAACGGAAAACGGAATTGGAATAGAAATGTAACAAGTTTTAAAAAAAAAAGCGAGAGAGGGATTCGTCCCTTGGATGCCACCGTGCGCGCCTGCTTAAATAACAAACATCCTCCTCCTCCAAAAGTCGTGCTCCATGCTGTTGTTGTTGTTGTTGTTGCTGAAAAAGCCATGAGTTTTGCCTGCGATGCTTTATCTGTCCTTTATCCACCACCACCTCTCCTCTTCAACCTAGTCGATGTTCGGCTTCCTTTTTCGTTGGGAACATGATCGGTTCTCCATCCCATAACCCCTCCCCCTCCCTCCTCCCTTCTTTAGTCGTGTGTTCCCCCTCCTTTCTTTCATAACCTCAACTTCGTTTCCCTTGGACCAGAGAAGTGTTCAAAGCTTCCCCAACGAAGAGCTCTACTCATCCTTGGGAACCTCGACGCTCCTCTCCTCGCCGTCGGCCTCGCCCTTTGTGACTTTTTTGCCCGTCTTGGCGATGGTCTTGAGGACTTTTTCGTAAGGGAGGGAGTCCTCTGCGATAACGGTGGCTGTTTGGGTTTCGAGGGAGACGGTGTAGGATTTGACGCCTGTGGTTTTTGTTTTTTGTTCTCTTGTCAGCAAAACTGTTTTCTTGTTGCGGTGTTGGCCGTGGCCCGGGTTTGACGGCGGCGCAAAAGGGGAGAACGTTGGGAGTGGAGAGGGAAAGGGGGGCGCATTTTACCCTCGAGCTTCTTCAAAACCCTGTCCACAGCACCGGAGCAGCCGCCGCAGCTCATGACAATGTTAAAGTGGTACTTGTGCTCCTGTCCGGTGGGGACGTCGGGAGTGGCGGCGGTAGCAACGTCGGCCATTTTTTGTTTTGTTTTTCGGTTCGTTCAACGATGCGAGGAGTTAGGGGTGTTGGTGAGGTAATTGGCGTTTTAGGGGTAGGAGTAGCGCGGTACGTTTTTTTGGTTGTGAGAAGGTTTGGAGAAAGAGATAAAACGGGGGAGTGGTGGAGGTGGTGGGTGGGCACTTGGTTATGTTATTTAAGGTTGAAGACAACGTGTATTTGGCGGTGGTGGTGGTGGTGGTCCTGTTGATATATATAACCGCTTGTGTGTCTCAGGCACGGAAATGGCGGGAAATTTAACGGGTTTAACGGCGCGCAGATAGTATACGTACGCACTTGCACATGAGATGCCTTCCAAAAGGGCTGACTTGACCCGATTGGG